TCAAATCCTTTCTCTTGGGCTGACAGCAGCAGACGGATGAGTGTTTAGTGAGTGTTTAGCCACAGTTTCTGCGCTCTGATGAACGAGCGTGGCTGTGATTGACGCTGCTCATCTTCTGCACGTGGAAATTAATCCCATGGAACGCTCTGGTCAGTCTGTTGCTTAGCAACCGCATCCCTCCCTGGCCTGGCCATCACACACACACACACACGGGTCTCACACCCGCTGACCTCTGAGCCATACATCAAACACACAGCGGCCGTCTCCACATATAATGTCCCCATTCATCTGACCCACGCTTCAGCCGCACAGTTCTGCTCATTTCCACCTCAACATCCCACAACCACGTCTGGACTTCCTCACTCTTCTTCTCTTTCTTTCACTTCAAACCTGAAACACACACACTTTCCTCATTGCTTACATGCCTACTGACATTTAACAGTTGTCAATGTTTGCAAATTTTATTCAGCTATTCATTATATATTATATTATATTGTTATATTTATGTCCGTATTCACAAATATGTATTATATATAATAATAGATTTAACTCTTTTTTGCTAATTGTATTTCAGCTATTATATATCGTTACATTTATATTTCACAAATATTATTATTTTTTTATTCACTTTGTTGTTGTTGTCTGTGATTGTTGATGTTGCTGGATGTTCAGAACAGGGTTATTATAATTAATGAAAAATAAAGCCAAACATTTTACTAAAACTTTCACTTCAATAAAATAAAAGTTACTTGCTGTTTGTAATTATTGGTGAAATGTACTAGCAATTTATGAGTGAAAATGGTTTCTACACTAAAATGTTTTAGTGTATGGCATAAAAAGGAGAAATTAGGAGATAAAAAGTCATAATTCCCTCCCCCCTGTTCTGCCTCTGCTTTACCACCTTCCTGGACATTTTTGGGTTTTGTTTGGGCGTCTGGAGCCTCCCTTAGAGGGGGGATATGTAATAGGGTTGGGCCGATTGACGATGCCATCGTCCATCCTCACGATGTTGAGCCGACATCATGACCCCCCCCCCATTCTCCCCGCAATCTGCCACATCCCAATATCGTGTTTGGAAAGAAAATGACGTGTATACGGAACCCCTAAAGCGAATAAATATGAGAAGGGAGGAAAATACATATTTAAATAAATTCTCTCGCAGTTATATCATTGGGTAATTATACTGTATATAAATTGTGGGCATCAGGGAGCCGCTATTATGCTTGGCATTGAAACTGCTTTTGAATGCACAATCGCTTTTTAGTTTCACTTTCACTTTCGAGATTCGCGATTGCACGTAGTCTGTTTATACTATGGAGTGGCAGTACTTACCACACATTTTACAAGATTAGATGTTTGCCTCTGCTATATGGCCCAGGACCTCCATTGCTTCACTGTCTGCCACTGTTCCATGGCCCTGGTCCACCAAGGCTCCACTGCCCAGGTCTGCCATTGCCCCAGGTCTGCCATTGCCCTATGGTCCAGGGCCACCACTGCACCATGGCCCATGGTCTTGCCCTTTGCTCACACCGCCCACCACTGTTCTGCGATTCTGATCCTGTTCCCCTGCATGGGCCTGGCCCTCCATCCCCTCCCCCCTGTTCTGCCTCTGCTTTACCACCTTCCTGGACATTTTTGGGTTTTGTTTGGGCGTCTGGAGCCTCCCTTAGAGGGGGGATATGTAATAGGGTTGGGCCGATTGACGGTGCCATCGTCCATCCTCACGATGTTGAGCCGACATCATGATCCCCCCCCCATTCTCCCCGCAATCTGCCACATCCCAATATCATGTTTGGAAAGAAAATTACGTGTATACGGAACCCCTAAAGCGAATAAATATGAGAAGGGAGGAAAATACATATTTTAATAATTTCTCTCGCAGTTATATCATTGGGTAATTATACTGTATATAAATAGTGGGCATCAGGGAGCCGCCATTATGCTTGGCATTGAAACTGCTTTTGAATGCACAATCGCTTTTTAGTTTCACTTTCACTTTCGAGATTCGCGATTGCACGTAGTCTGTTTATACTATGGAGTGGCAGTACTTACCACACATTTTACAAGATTAGATGTTTGTCAGTGGTGCGGAGGATCTGCAAATAATTCGCCATTGTCCTCAGTCATCTCTCCTTTTATGTACTGTAATGTAACAGGCAACTGTTAGCAATCGTTTTCTGAATACGGATTCAAACTTCGGGCACACCCCCTAACCATTTTTGCCTTGTCCTGGTTCCTGTCTATTCATGTGATTCCCTTACCCTCCTGTTATTGGTTCTTTGGTTCATGTGTCATGTTATCACTGGTTGTCTTAATCATGTGTCCTTTCTCTCATTGGTTGGTTCTTGTCATGTGACTTGTATTGTTTGATAACGTCGTTTGCACTGCGCTCTTGCATTACTTGATCTTTTTATTTTGGTGTGTCAATCTGTTGAGTTACTTAGTATAGGAAATTATGATCCGCACTCATGAGGACAGTCTTCTTGCTTCTTTTATTTTACAGTCATTACTGATGGGAAAAGACACAAACGTTTCAGCTCAAAGCCTTCCTCAGTGTGTATTGTTTGCTATAAATAGTCCTCATGTTGCCATTGTCTCCTGTCGAGTATTGATGTTGTAACCTGCTGTTGGTGAGTCAAGTCTGTTCATGCCAAGTCAAGTCTGTTCATGCCAAGTCAAGTCTCTTTTTGGATTATGTTTGTATTTTGGATCACTTTTGGAATGCACTTGGGTTCTTAAACTCGCCTTCAGTGGACTGCTTGTTACAATAAGGGAGAATGTTTTACAATATATGGTGCATATTTGCACAAATATATGACTTTATATGATATATTGTTATATAATAGACACAAAAAAAACTCACACACAAATGGACTTGTAATCAAATATGAGTTTTACATGTTTTGTCTGTCATGTATCAGATTTCATATGGACAGAATGCATTTCTACAGTGCAGTAAGAGTATAAGTAAGCTTCTTGTCTGAGTCATTGGTTTGTTTGTTTTTGTAAATGTTGTTTTGCAGATTCACTTCAGTGTGATCTTTGATTTTGTGGAAGATCATAACTCTCTCTGCACCAGAAAGTCGTTTATTTTAAACTCGTTAGGTTTTGCTCCACTAAACTGATCTTTAATTCTCCCTGCTGCTGCTGAAATTGATGAGTTTTTCATAATTATTCCCTTTGCAGCCTTTTTAACTTTTCATGAGAAAAGGAGCAATTTCGCAGCTTTTATTGTGTTCTGTAGAGAAGTGAGAGATCAGATATTGATATTTGTGTGGTTTATATCCTGCGCTGCCTCTAATGTTTTATATAAAGTTCATTAGACATTCAGTGTGTTTACAAAAGGCCTGATTCATCACCGGCTTTCACTAATAGCTTTCTGTAGTTAAACTTTACACAGTTTAGTCTGTTTCTTTAGCAAGGACCTGATTTGATCATAAAGGTTTGTGTGTTTGGTTGCATGTGTTATTTTAAAATACTTTTTAAGTTTTGAGAATGTGAGAGGCAGATATTGATGTTCATATTTCTAGTATATATTTTAATTTCCATAAATACAAACTCTCCATGAGTCATAAATCCCCCCAGTCTAAGTGAATGAGTTTTATTCTGTGTGCTGTAATAATAAAGCTCGGCATGATGTTAGGATTACAGTCATCTTTATCTCTGCAGATACTAACATCACTGCTCAGACATTGTGGGGGGTTTTGCTGTTGTTCTGTTTTTTTGTCCGTGATGTTGGATGTTAGACTGTCTCAGTGTATATATTATTATATGACAACACGAATATAATGATGTTGGGATTACAGTCATCTTTATCTCTGCAGATACTAACATCACTGCTCAGACATTGTGGGGGGTTTTGCTGTTGTTTTGTTTTTTGTCCGTGATGTTGGATGTTAGACTGTCTCAGTGTATATATTATTATATGACGACACGAATATAATGATAAAAATAATCATATAGATGTAATTTAATGTTAATATTTTCATAAAATCTCAATACAAATGTATTTATTATATTAACTTAAAAATGTAAATTAATATGCGTACAATATTGTGTGGGTGTTTTGTGTATACGTATATAAAATATATGGATATATACAGCAAACTTGAATAGCAATGTTACAACATAATATTGGTATAATCAAAATTGTATTCACTTATGCAGTACACTGAAGTAATGTGAATAAAAATAACAAAAACATATATTTTTTACAGGATTTGTGTATTGTATCTTAAATAGCAATGTTACAACATAATATTGGTATAATCAAAATTGTATTCACTTATGCAGTACACTGAAGTAATGTGAATAAAAATAACAAAAATATATAGGGAAAAAAACATGGTTAATTTTTTACAGGATTTGTGTATTGTATCTTTTTTTTGTTGTTTTGTTTTTTTATAACTGCATTGCTGGCTTGATGTTTTGTGCTGTTTAATAAAAAATAAATCAGAAAAAAAGATTTGCGAACCCGCTCCGAAGTTCCGATCTGAATCAAAAGATTTGCGAACACGCTCCGATGTATATAAAATAGGAAAAAAGAACAATATATATACTAAGTTGAAAAATAAAATAAAATAAAACAAAATAGAATAAGTTGTATGTAGGCTACTTCAAAATTGTCATGCAGTTATGCAGTCCACTGAAGGGTCTAAAAGGCAGAATGTGTTTTGTTATGAGGATATTGTAGGTGTGTGTGTGTGTGTACCTGTTTTTCTATTCTGGTGAGGACTTAAACCTGAATACACACAGACTCATGGGGACTCATGTCACGGTGGGGACCTAAATTGTGGTCCCCACGGGTACAAAAGCTTAGAAATCATACAGAATTAAGTTTTTTGAAAATCTAAAAATGCAGAAAGTCTCCTGTGAGGGGTAGGTTTAGGGGTAGGGTTGGTGTAGGGCAATAGAATATACGGTCTGTACAGTATAAAAACCATTACACCTATGGAGAGTCCCCACAAGGATAGCTGACCAGACGTGTGTGTGTGTGTGTCTGTGTGTGTGTGTGTGTGTGTGTGAGAGAGAGATCAGGATAATCCGTGTGTAACCCTTTCGTGTCCGCGGATCCTCCAGCGCTTCAGTCTGCGGCAGTGACTTGTTTATTTCTTGCATTTCTCTGAACAGGATCGAGTCTCCTTTAAATATCGCCTTCCGTTCCTGAACGAGAATCCCGAATGCGAGCTGAGATGATGCTCCCAGCCGACTTTAGCCCGAGATCCGGCGTGGCAGCGGCCGGTGCTGATGAGAGCCGCCGCGGACCCTCGCTCTTCCTCAGCATCAGCAGCATCAGCATCAGCATCAGCATCATCGGCGTCGCGTCCATCATGCTCGTTCTCCGTGTGTGAATCGCAGTGTTTCTGGGCTGAGATGGTTCGGGTCGTCAGTGTTCTGGGTCTGGTGATGTTCAGCGTCGCTTTGCTCATTTTATCGTTGATCAGTTACGTGTCCATCAAGAAAGACTTCATATTCACCGCTCCCAAATACGACAACGCCGGCGGGCCGCGGATGTACATGTTCCACACGGGCTTTCGGTGAGTGAATGATTGATCACTTACATGCATTAAATTAATCTCATAACGGTGGTGTTTATGTCTGGAATTCATGTGTTATGTCTGGGGACGTTTCTAGTGCACATGTGTGCAGATATAGCCTACATGTAGATTAATAAGGCGTGCTTTAATCACATTTAGGAAAGGCCTCTCTTGTCCTTCTGTCATGATGCACAGCGCACATGCGCAGTTCGCTCCTGGATCATGAAGATGGACTAACCTACATTCTCATATTTCGCAGAGTAGCAATTTCTGAAGTCAGCTGCTGGATTCATCTTCATGCATTCGATTCTAACAGACTTAAGAATTGAAGTTCTTGATATATCAAGATTTTTTATAAGCAAATACGTTTATGGTCGATTTATTAGATTTATTATTATTGTTTATAGGCAAATAAATTCATGGTCGATTTATTATTGTAACTGAAAGTAAAATAAATAAAGTAAAATAAAATAAAATAAAATGTTAAACGTGTTGTAATTAAACTTGTTGCTAAGGAAACATTTCTCATTTTCATTTAGTTTTAAAAAAATAATAAAAACAATTTCTACAAAAACTAATAAAAATACAAAAGCACAATAAAATTACTAGAACTTTAACAAATTAAAATGAAAACTAAATTAAAATTAAAAACTAATTCAAAATATCAATAAAAAATTACAACAGTAATATCAATTTTACTAAAATAACGGTGGTCTATGGCATTGTTGTGAAAACAGCATTTTAAAATCTTCATTTTTAAGAGTGATTTAATACTTATATACAGTATATATTGAATATGACCCATTAGAAAAGGACAATATTGTGCATTTGATGGAATTAATTTAAAGGAATAGTTCACTCAAAAATGAACATTAGCTGTAAATGTGCTCACTCTCAGGCAATCTGAGATTAGGATGAGTTTGGAGAAATGTAGCATTATATCAGATGCTCAGCAATGGATGCTCTGCAGTGAATGGGTGCCGTCAGAATGAGAGTCCAAACAGCTGATAAAAACATCACAATAATCCACAAGTACTCCACAGCACTCCAGTCCATCAGTTAACATCTGGAGAAGACAGAAACTGAAACAAATCCATCATTTTAAACTTTAAACTGTAGCTTCCGGCTAAAATATGAGTCCAAAATTTATAGTAATGCTTACTCCAGTGACAAAGTGCATCTCCTGTTGTCTCTCACATCAAAATCCAGCCACATATTTGTTTAGAGCTGTTTTGGCTTGTAAACGGTGCTTGATCTGTGCAGATTTCTCTCCTGATTCAGACCAGAACACTTTTTCACTGCAGGAAGCGTTTTTATGTATTATGGACTATTATGTAGCAATGGTTTGAAGTTAAAAACGCTTTAATGATGGCCTTGTTTCTTGGAAACACACAGCTTTTGGCTTCAGAAGACACATTTTGCCATCCATTTGGATGACAAAATGTGATTGAAATGTAAACAGCTCCACAATCATTGCACGAAGCATGAAGACTGTAAGGTGTAATTACAGTGCTGTGGTTTATGTTGTTGTGGGTCTGTGACGACTGTGAGACTGAAGGATGGTCTGAGACGGTGCCGCTGTCCTTGGTCCTGATTTACTCTTCTGGCAATTTCATTTCCAGTCAGTAATCAGACGCTTCTGCTGCAGTCAAGGTTACATAGCAGGAGTCATTTTGATCCGGCACGTCTTGCGGAAGATATGACCATATGTTACTCAGCTTTACTGAGAGTCATTTGAACTTCTGCCAGTGAAGAGAGAGCATACGCCAAGACTAGCAGAACTGCATTGAAATGTGTTTTAACCCACATGCAGTGCTGAATACCCTTTGGTGTTCCTGGTCAAAAATGAACAGTTCCTCGTAATTCTCTCATTAGTCTTTATTATCACAAAATCTTGGATTTAGTCTGTTTACCAACTGTTTTCTTTGATTTAGAACAGGTTTTGCATTTATTTTTGAATCTGACGGATTGTAGGCCTCATTGATCTGAGCTCATGCGCCTTAGTTTTTGAGCCAAAATGATCTACAAATAATGCTTTTTCACTCAAAGCTGAGCTCAGATCAATGAGGCCTACAATCAGTCAGATCCAAATAGAAATGCAAAACCTGTGCTAAATGAAAGAAAACAAGTTGATAAACACACTGAATACAATATTTGGTGGTGATAAAGTAGAATGAGAGATTTACAAGCCAATTTTTGTAGGATGGTCAGTTTTGAATGGGAGCACCACAGATGTTAGGTGCGGAAAAAATCCCAAAGAAATATTAAAAAATTATGTTTTTCGGAAGTTGCTATATCTTTGTCCAGTGCGATAACATTAACTAGCATTTTCAGGAAAAAGAAAATCCTCTCCGGGTCGAAATGACCAGAATAGTACATGAGGGTAAAGTTCAAATCAAGGAATTCACTGTAAATCTGTGAAATATACAGTAAAAATTGGCATCTGTGGTTGCTACAGCTTTACTGTAAAAATGTTCGCAAAATTTTAGGTATTATTGATTTAACAGTATAAACTTACAGTATAAAGCATATATTTCATTAACTGCTGTACAGTAATGTTCATATACCAATCTACTGAAGTATTAAAATCTGTTTTGTGCCTTTATAATAAACTGACAACCAACAAAGAAAGTCACATGAAGTTCATCACAAATAGATTTTTTATAATATTTAAAAATGTATATATTTATTATATATATTTTGAAATCTGCTTCATTTCCATACAGTAGGTAAAATTAACTGATTTCACATCAGTGCATAACAGTTATTTTTCCATGCTAAATGTTAAAGCTAAAATGTCTTTTTTGTGTAAAATATTGTAATGCCAAACAGAATTCGAACACTTCTGCTATTTTATGCATTCAAGTGTATGCAAATTGGTTGTAAAATCTATTTAAAAAAAAATTTATAAAACAAGAATAATACTAAGAAAATGTATAGAAACCATTTTCACTCGGAATTGCTAGTCAATTTCACAATTAATTGTAAAGAAATGGCAAGAAACACATTTAATTAAATGTGACATTTTGAAGTAGACAAACTGAGATTGTATATTCTTGTAAAAAATCTTGTTGGATTTACAACAAAACATCTTTTTTTATATATAGTTTACTTGAAAATTTCACATTTAATTCAATGTGTTACTTGCAATTTCTTTGTAGTTAAATGTGAAATCTACTAGCAATTTCTGAGTGAAATGGTTTCTGCACCAATTCTTTTGAAGCCGGTTTGATGTGTGACAGATGATGGGATATTGTGAGTGACTTGAGTCGTCCTGACCTCTGAGGCTGTAACCCAGACTCGAACAACTCTGCTAATGAAACGGAACGAGCTTTAACAAACGAGAGTGAGCAAACGAGCAGGCATGGAGTCTAAAAGCGGCTGTTTAATTAGAGTGGCCATCGACTGCCCCGGGCGCGAGCTGACTGACAGCGGCCTGGATGGCTCTCATTGATCCCAGCCGCGATCGGGCCGTCCTGTGATGTGGAACAGAAACAGCGTTTCTCATTTCCTCTGTCTGTGCATCTCCTCATCAGATCCCAACTGGCCATGAAGTTCCTGGATCCCGCGTTCACGTCGCTGAATAATGCGCTCAACGAGAACCTGCAGGAGTCCAGCAGCTGGAGGTTCAACCAGAGTGCTTATTTACAGCAGAGGTGAACCTCTCTCACACACACACACATGCACACGCTCACACGCACACGCACACACACATGCACACATGCACATGCTCACATGCACACACACAGTCTTGCATTTGTGGTTTACGGGGACTCTCCATAGGCGTAATGGTTTTTATACTGTTCAAACCGTATTTTCTATCACCCTTCACCAACTCTACACCTAAACCTACATCTTACATTAATCAGTGTAGATGCCATATTTAATTTGACGCATATACGTACAATATTTCTTAAAATATTAAAGTATGGAATCACATATTAGATGCCTATGAAATATTAAAGGGGTCCTATTATGCTCTTTTCAAAGTCTTGATTTTGTTTTGGGGGTGTACTAGAACAGGCTCTCATACTAGGTTGTTCGAAAAACACATTATTTTTTACATATTTTACGTTGTTACAACACCTCTCTCCCCAGTCTGGAATGAACGCCTCGAATAGTTCCTGTATCAAATGAAGGCCCGCCTTCTGAAATACGAAATGTGTTGTGATTGGTTAGCTGGGTCAGTGTGTGCTGTGATTGGTTAGCTGGGCCAGTGTGTGCTGTGATTGGTTAGCTGGGCCAATGTGTGTTGTGATTGGTTAGTTGGGCCAGTGTGTATTGTGATTGGTTAGCTGGCCCAGTGTGTGCTGTGATTGGTTAGCTGGGCCAGTGTGTGTGTGCTATGATTGGTTAGTTGGGCCAGTGTGTGTGTGCTATGATTGGTTAGTTGGGCCAGTGTGTTTTGGGATTGGTTAGCTGGGCCAGTGTGTGCTGTGATTGGTTAGCTGGGCCAGTGTGTGCTGTGATTGGTTAGCTGGGCCAGTGTGTGCTGTGATTGGTTAGCTGGGCCAGTGTGTGCTGTGATTGGTTAGCTGGGCCAGTGTGTGCTGTGATTGGTTAGCTGGGCCAGTGTGTGCTGTGATTGGTTAGCTGGGCCAGTGTGTGCTGTGATTGGTTAGCTGGGCCAGTGTGTGCTGTGATTGGTTAGCTGGGCCAGTGTGTG